ATTCACTTCCATACATGACGACAGGTCGGATGATCGATTTGTAAATTTTCCCCTTCAGCCTTATTGGCATTCGGGGATCGCACGTTGTGGCTGTGACCTGTCGCCATTTCATCCACCCTGCGTTAATCCTATGCTGCACAGCTCTATCTATTCCGCCGTCGCCTTGAATGAGGGAACCGAGGTACTTGACATCTGAGCAGATAGGCAGTATAGCGCCATCCAACGACATGGGTACAGGACTGGAAAGACCGCCGAAATCACAGCACAGATATTCGGTTTTGGATCTGCTGATCTTCAGGCCAACACTTTCCAGCCTCCGTTGCCACCCCGTCAGTCTGCTCTGTACCTCGATGCCTTCTTCCCCGACAAGCACGATGTCATCGGCAAAGAGCATGTACCAGGGTGCCTCATCCTGCAGGTCCGACGTCAAAGCGTCCATAATCAGTAGGAAGAGGTAAGGGCTCAGTGCCGACCCTTGGTGCAGCCCTACCGCCACATCGATACTGCCCGTAGTTCCCGCGGCAGATCGTACACATGTACGGGATGCTCTGTACATAGCACGGACCAACCTCACATACTTCCCAGGCCCACCACACGACCTCACGGGGAACCCGATCGTACGCCTTTTCAAGGTCGACAAAAACCATGTGCAGATCTTTATGCACGCGCTTGTACTTTTCGCACAATTGGCGTAATGCGAAAATGGCATCTGTCGTACCTCGACCGGGCATGAATCCGAACTGGTTATGTATTATCTCACACTCTTCTCTCATTCTTCTCTCTATTACTCTTTCCCAGACTTTCATCGTATGTGACATGAGCTTTATTCCCCGGTAACTGCTGCAGTTTTGAACGTCTCCTTTGTTTTTAAAAATGGGAACCAGTATACTACTGCACCATTCCTCAGGTATTTGTTCTTCCTGCAACAATTTACCGAAAAATAAACTCAACCACTTCCATCCATCCGCCCTCAGCAACTTCCACACTTCTACTGGTATTCCATCTGGGCCGACCGCCTTCCCATTCTTCATATTCCTAACAGCCATTTTTACTTCTTCCACACTAATTTCTCTCACTAAGCCCATATTCACTGGTGGGTTTTCAAGCATACCATTCCATTCATTCTCCTCATTCATCAATTTCTCAAAATACTCCTTCCATCGCTTCTTTATACTTTCATCGTCAGTCAAAATCCTTCCAGAATCATCTTTTATACATTTTACATGTGAAACATCTCTTCCATTCCTTTCTCTCGCTCTTGCAATTTGAAAAAGTCGTTTTTGACCTTCGGGGCTTTCAAGGGACCGATATAATTTATCGTGCGCCTCTGCCCTACAAATAGCAACTTCCTTCTTCGCTCTCTTCTTACATTCTTTATACGCCCCTCTCTTACTTTCTTTTATGGATTCATTCTGGTCTTCTACGCTCTGCCATTCTTTAAAGGCATTTTTCTTTTCTCTCAAAACTTCTCTAATACTTTCACTCCACCACCACCCATCCTTATCTATCATACGCTTCCCTTTTGTTTCTCCTAACACCTTCCTTGCCACACTTCTGATACAATCAGCCATTTCCTTCCAGCACTCATTCACACTCATTCCTTCCATATCACCCATCTCTATCATCTTGTTTACAACTAGCTCTCTAAATTCACTTGCATACCCCTCCTTATGCAGCAAATGCCACTTTATTTTGGGTGGGGGACGATCCTTATGTTTGTTGAGGCGAACAGTTAAGCAGATGTCAGCCAGCAGAATTCGGTGCTGGGATACTAAGTCTTCACCTGGAAGCACTTTGCAGTTTTTTACACTCTTGATTTGGTTCCGTCTTATCAGAAGATAGTCGATCTGTGTCGCGTGGTGGCCACTTTTATAAGTAACAAGATGCTGATCTCGTTTTTGGAACCACGTGTTTACTACAGCCAGGTCGAAAGCACATGCTGCTTGCAGAAGAACTTCCCCCTCACGGTTCCGCACTCCATACCCCCATCCACCGTGTACTCTTTCATACCCGTCATTCACTCTCCCTACATGTCCATTAAAATCTCCTCCCATATAAACATCCTCACGCTCAGGTATTCCCATCATCATACAATCAAATTCCTCCCAAAACTTCTCTTTCACACTCTCTTCACAGCCTGTTTGCGGAGCATACACACTTACAACATTCACTACTTTGTTTTCAATCATTAATTTAACAACTATCATTCTGTCATTTACTCTTTTCACATCTGTCACTCGTTCTTTCATTCCACTATCTAACACAACTCCTACTCCATTTCGCTTCCCATCACTTCCACAATAATAAAACTTGTATCCCTCCCCAATCTCTCTTGCTTTATTGCCCTTCCATTTTGTTTCCTGCAAACAGGCAACATTCACTCTTCGTCGTTTCAAAACATCTGCTAACTCTCTTCCTCTTCCAGTCATCGTACCTATATTCCAGCTTGCAAACCTCACTCTGACATTCTTCTCTCTCCGGGCTCGCCTCTTACGTCGCACCCGCTCCGTAAGGTGCGACAACCCTTGCCCACTTCCCACAGGAGCCGGGTGCTGCCCCTGCGCGTCGCCTGCGGGGTACGCCCTAGCCCTGTCATATGTCCCACAACTCGTACTATTCATTTACTGCATGGGATTTGGCAAAAGTTTTACAGTCGGCCGCCTGCCTGACACCAAACCTCTTTGGGTATGCTATTGCTGGTAGAGGAAGCTACCATTTTGGGAAAAGGAAAAAGAAGTTTGGGGGTAGGAGCATAGGTGTAAGGATACTGTTATCTCGGCAGGAAAGGTATGAGAATAACAGTAGCTCGAGGAGCCGGGGTCGCGTACCCGTATTCCATACCAGGATCACCGGAAAGGTAGACCAGCATGAGAACCCCCTGACGTAACGCTCTCTTGAAGAACTACTGACCAATTTCACTTCTGAGCCGCGTCTACGTGCTGTTTTCGAGAGTCATTACGAACCGTCTCGCATGCAGACTCGACGACTTTCAGCCTCCCGAACAAGCCGGTTTTCGAAAAGACTTAAGCACCATAGACCACATACATATCTTTCGGCAAATTGTACAGAAAACCGAGGATTAGAATTTGTCACTATGTCTGGCGTATGTGGACTATGAGAAAGCCTTTGATTCCGTCGAAATTTGGGCGGTGCTGCATTCCCTTCAGCGGTGCCAAGTTGACTGTCGGTATATCGAAGTGCTGAAGTGTTTGTACAGTAGGGCTACGATGGCTATCCGAGTACAGAATCAGAGTACGAAACCTATCCAACTGCAGAGAGGTGTAAGACAGGGTGACGTCATATCCCCGAAACTCTTCACCGCTGCATTGGAAGACGTTTTCAAGCTACTGGACTGGAAAGGATACGGTATTAACATTAATGGCGAGTACATTACTCACTCTCGATTTGCCGACGATATAGTCCTTATGTCAGAATCGCTGGAAGACCTAAGCACTGCTCAATGACCTCAATAGTGCCTCCTGACGGATAGGTCTTATGATAGATATAATGAACATGGAGAAAACACAGATCATGTATAACATCCATGTCACACCTATGCCGGTAGTTGTTGGGAGGACTAAGTTCGAAGTTGTTGACGAGTATGTTTACCTGGGTCAAATAGTCCGACTAGGTAAATCCAACTTCGACCGAGAGGTCAATCGACGGATTCAACTCGGCTGGGCAGCGTTCGGGATATTACGACACATCTTCTCGTCAGGTATACCTCAAAACTTGAAAACGAAACTGTACAACCGAAGTGCGTGTTGCCAGTGATGACTTATGGAACTGAGACGTGGTCCTTCACTGCCGGCCGTATGAGGAAGGTCACGGTCGCTCAGCGAGCTACAGCTACAGAGTAATAAACTTAGAAATCAGGATCGGACGTCAGTCAACATGGCTAACCGTGACGATATGTTTTTATTCTTATTATATTCAGCTACTGGATAATTTTGCACTGTTTCTATTAACATCTCTGTATTTATTGCCATTTTACACGCGGTACACACGGCCTGTTGTAAAAATTTGTAACTGACCGCGCTGCGGCCACCGGTCATCGATAGAGGCCGAACGTTCGCTAACACACGCAGTTGAGGAGAGGGTGGGACATGCGGTCGCGACGTGATCACACGGACTTGCAGACTCACATTGCAAGCGAATACAACTAGCCGCCATCGCAAGCCGCTACTGTGTGGGAGACGCTTAAGACATGCAGGAAGTCGATGGATGCAGGTGGCTCAGGACCGTGCTTTGTAGCATTCCTTGGGGAGGCCTATGTTCAGTAGTGGACTTGTGAAGGACTGTAATGATCATGATGATGATGAAGAATGATACCCGCAACTTCGTCCGCGTTGCTTGATATATTAACAAGGTATTGGTATGTGCGAAGGAAAAAACATCAAAAAGATCTTTTAGTACAGAAAAACAGCTAAACACACATCACTGAACACGTAGTGCTTATAAAAATCGTTGTTTCTTAAAACTTAAATAACTTTATATTAAATGAAGATATCTCAATTTTCTTTTAGATAAGGGCCAAGTGTCTAAGAAATAAAACTTAGGAACCTAATTGAAATCTATCCAGTAGGTATTCCGTGATGCGCGCACAACTGCAAACCTCTATTATTTTATTTAGGTATATAGATTAACGATGTTAGAACTAAAAACACGCAGGAAGTCAATCATACTATATAGCAAACCTTTGCGAAAGACACATTTACTTCTCCTATCCACAACTGACGTCAAGCAACTTTCTGTTCTGGCTTAAAGAATCAGTGTAAGAATTTGAAAACACAAACAGTGATAAATAATCATTATGGCATACAATTATTGTACATTTCGAACGTCTCTAATCTTGCCAAGGTCACCCGATTCGATCACATTAAATTGTAGTATTTAAATATTATCTGATTCTATTAACAAAAACCAGACTTGTTTGTAACAATAATTAGTGATAAATCTTTCGGATGATTTTATCGTTAAAACGTTACATTTGATTTCAGGTTAATACGACACACCGAAAAACTACTTGAAGAGAAAGAGGAAAAGTTGTGCGTGAAGGTTTTGCGCACTCTCCGGGAGATGATGGCCGTGGATCCGGAATACGGCGAAAAGGTAGATTATAATATACAGGTCAATAATAAGTCATTAGTTGATACCTTCCGGAGGCATTGAAAAGATATCGCTATGTTCAATGTGTCAATGCAAGTATTATGTTTCCAGGGCAACCAGCTTCGCAACAAACTACTCTCTCAGTACTTCGTGAACCGCAAATCGGAGCCGAAGATCCAGCCGCCGCAGCCCTCGCTCGCCGTTACACACGGGCCCGGCGGTAAGTCACAAATTTATACTTATCAGGTTCCCTAAGAGACAATAGATAGAGAGAATACAGAAGAGATTAATGGGACAGGGAAAGCGTTAATTCTAATTAGCTTATATAACATAGAGGATTTGATTGGTAACTAAGAACACTGAAAATAAGACCGAAACTTTAAGCCAGCTTTTCCCTGCATCTCAATGAACAGGTCAAGTCTTAATATTTTAATGATTTCTTATACTCGTATTTACTCGGATTCTATCGCGTTTAATTTAACTTTTTAATTCCCGACATTTCGTGTGCTTTATTTTTAATATTTATTCCCCATGGTCACGGGGGGACTGAGGTGTTTGACGTTCCGATGTCATACTTAGCCCGGCTACCTTCAGTTTTTGAGTATTAATTTTTGGTCCGATCTACGCAGAATGAGCTTACAGTATCTTGAAGTCTTGCAGTGGTATACTTGGGTTTGGATTATAATTTTATTAATTATAATTACTAAAATTAAATCCAAACCCAAGAGGACCGATTTTAATTTTTTCTCATTTGCATCTGCAGCATCAAAAATATTGACTACCACTTCTAACAGTGGTAGAGCCACGCGGCAGCTTTTGCTGTCACATGGATGGTCCGGCTCGAACCGGGGTGGTACCACGACCTCACAGAAAACCAGCCTGAAGTAGAGGTTTACCTCTGCGTTTCGCTTGGTGAGTGCAGGTGGCCGGAGGCCCTGTTTACTCTAAATGAGGCATTCCATCTTAGTCCTCACGGGTGACAACGCATCTACATTTTGATTTGTAATAGAGGATAGATGTAGATGTCTATGGGCGGCAGCAACCACTTACCATCAGGTGGACTGTGTGCTCGTTTGTCACACTTATCCTATAAAAAAGAAAAAAAAATAGACGCAAAGGTTGATTTTCTGGAAAATTTATAAATCTCTCTATCTTTTAAACCACTCAACTTGGGTATAGAACTTAATTTCTTTTTAACAGTCCTGCCATCGTCTATAACCCCCTTTCGTTTAATCGCTACGTTCTGGGACATTCTGTATATATATATATATATATATTAAAAATAGGTTTTCAATCAACTACTCATGTTTTAAGTATTTTATTTATAGAAAGACTTTTAAATTAGATTTATTTAGGAGCCACCATAGTTAACACGCAGTTACATAGTATTCCAGGTACAATACTAATGGCACATTTAGATTTAGAAGTGTCCAGCACATTGTTTAATATTATTTAATTAAAAATAATTCATTTTCACGGTAGATGAAGATACGATAAACGAGATTATCTTCAAGCAATTACGCCATATTGATGCGCGGTATGAGTCGTGATCACAAACTTGACCTGCGTAGTTAAAAAGAGTGCTGGATTAAGAATGTGAACACTCCTTTAGGCCTTGGGTTCGTCAGTCGATTTTCGTCATCCATTAAAAACTTGGTGACTAGTGTAGACGCCCTAACTTGTCCCCACTACTGTCGCTCTGTACTCACGACTAATGCCGCTACATATCATTACATATTTAAAAGAGTTGTTTTCATTGTGTTTGATCAATATTTTAACTAGATAACACTGAAGCAGTAGTAATATTACTAATGTTATAACAAATCCACCAACGAAACAATTCTTTCAAAATAGTGCATTTTATATGTTATCTTGAATTACTCGCATCATTGTCTCTATTCGGTATATATGACCTTTTGCTTTTGTTAAGTTAGTGTTAAAACCAATGGATCATTCAGTGGTGTATACACATAAAGCAACATTATAAATATATAATATAAAATACTCCCTCTCTCCTTTTTTAATGTCGGATAATACAGAGGTTTTTATTTTATAAAACCAAAAGCAATCTACCGTGATGGTGCAAGTATTTCATATAGTTATCAAGCTTATTGTGATAACAGCCTGATCTAGAATTTTGTGTCTTTATTCGATTGCGCATGCGACGCAGACTCACACGTGCAGCAGCCGAAGCCAGGTGGGTCCATACAATGTCACATGATTTATGTTCCTAAAGATACTCGTATTACACGGTTCATTTTTAACTTTCATTTTCAATGAATCATTAAAGCAGAATAAATGATCTAAATTGTTCGTTCAATGTTCATTGGCATTAATATAGATAAAATTATTTTAGCTTAGCTACAATGATCTTACATCGTTTGATATTCAAGAAGAAATCCCCTTCCCACCATCGGACAACCAGGTGGGTCTTCACTTTGTTGTCGATATTCCACGCATTAGAACCAAACGGTGTGCTTTGTCTTTCGTAATGCGTACAGCAAAGGAGTGGAATAATTTGCCAGCATCTGTTTTTCCGTCCCAGTACAATCTGTAAGTCTGGAGTAAATTCAAGGCAAGTCGAAAAAGACTTAGACTAAAGGTATGACGGGTGCGATTTACTATCTAGGGCTTCATCACCAAGCACTGGCTTATAATAAGTAAAAATGAATGTAAATACAAGAAAAATATAAATACAAAATTCACTGTTTGTATTTTATTGAAATTATATATTTCCATGCACACAATTTATTTTTACATGAACATTTTTGTGATCCATAGTGTTTGTTTAATATTTATTACACTTTTAGGATTTATTATAAATGAACGATGAAATGGAAAAAATATAGTACGTGTAAACCAACGCAGCCTTTCATTGGCCAACGCAAATCAAAATTTACTAGAAATGATTCACTGAGGATGTACCAGCTTCTATCACATCAATGCATGCTTCTGTTGTTGGTGTTGTTTGGATGTTCTAGTGCTCTAATCAAAACAAATGTTTTAAATGTATAAAATGAATGCTATAACACGTAATGAATTTTTTTAGTATTTAAGTAGATTCTTATATACACACACATATATATATATATATATATATATATATATATATATATATATATATATATATATATATATATATATATATTATGTATGTTCTTTTTAAATTAAACATGTACACAAAATATTTTTTATCATAATTTTTAAAACGATAAGGGGAAGGGCAGTGAATTTATTATATTTGGATGCGAGCCACTATATAATTAATAAGTTCACCTTATTACTGTTGTAACCTGTTATTGGCTGTCTATCACGGTGGCCTATACACACTTAGCCTATCCACACGAAACTTGTAAATTAATAAGGGATCCAGTTAGAATAAATTTTGTTAAAGACAAAGAGAGAAGTTGATATATACGTAAGTTATGTCAGCATTTTATTTCTATGTGCACACTCAGTTGTTTATTTATAAGTTACTCATTTTTGATAAGTTTCAGTAAAAAGTAACCAGAGTAAAGCCTACGTACTTAACAGCGCTGGGCATAGGCCTCCTCTCATTTTTAAGAGAGTTATCAAACAGTTAATCCGCAGCGATGCTACAGTGCATGTTGGCGGATTTCACATGTCCTCGAATAATTTTATCACTCAGAAATGCAGGTTTCATCACGATGTTTTCATTCAGTTTCATGCAGTTGATGGCTTCCGACAGTATATGAAAGTGGTGACCTGCAGACCTATTCATTTAATATTATTGACATCAAAATGATAGTCACTTTGCATTACATTGCATCGTATGTTTTACAAGCCGTGGTAGCACTTTTATAAAAGCTATATAGCATTACGCAATGCACCACAAAGTACTTATCATTTCAATGTGAACGATATTAACATATAAGCCTGAAGGTTAGAAGGACATCATCATGCACATGCAAGTAGACACCTGTTAAGAGTGACATCACCCACATAAAACCTGAATGCATTGATGCTGTGAATATTAATGTGCTTTTAAGGATAGGCCGCACTTTACAGAAGTGCGGGCATAAACCGTGATTACGAACGAAACGTCGTAGGCTCATATAACTCTTTTTAATGGAAGTGTATGAGAGCATAAAGTGACCGCAATCGTCATTTCTTCTCGCAATTAGTCCGCAAATGTATGTTTTTTATTTTATAGAATAAGGGTGACAAACGAGCACACATTTCACCTGATGGCAAGTAGATACTGAGGCCCGTAGACATCTTCATTTTTGCTCGATTAAGAATCAATATTCAGATGCGTTGTCACCCCTGAGAACTAAGATGGAATCCCTCGTATCCTGTAAAAAGGGTGTCCGCTTCTTTACACTCACTAGACGAAACACAGCAGCATTAAGCTGTTATTTTACACTGCTATTCTGTGACAGTGTGGTCCTTACCTGGTCGAGCCGACCCATTCGTGCTATAACCATAATATAGCTGTATGCATGGCTCTACCGCGTATGTAATAGTATATGTGCCACTTTGTCCCCTCCGCTGTTGTCCTTGCTTGTACGTACAGTACGTGGTGTAGTGGAGTCAGTATGTGTGTCGGTGCAGCGAAGGTGCTGCTGCGCACGGGGCAGACGCTGGCGGCGGTGCAGGCGCACCTGGACCGCGAGGGCGCGTCCGACCTGGTGGTGGAGCTGGTCATCAACAGCACCAACCGCCCCGCCATATTCCTCGAGGCCATACAACTCGGTCAGTACACCACACTCCCATTACAACTTTAATTTCAGCTACAAAATGTAATGTTCTCTGTGTCCTCACTACTTTCAATGATTCATTATTACATTTACTACTAGCATATTATTAGTCTTGTGCGTAGCTCAATTCACAAAAATGTGATCTACTCCTGTATTACCAGCCTATCAAAAGTCCACTGCTGAATATAAGCCTCCCCCTAGATTGCCTCATCATCATCATCATCATTACAGCCCTTCACTAGTCCACTGCTGAACATAGGCCTCCCCCAAGGAATGCCACAAAGCACGGTCCTGAGCCACCTGCATCCATCGACTTCCTGCATATCTTACCAGGTCGTCATTCCATCTAGTGGGGGGACGCCCTACACTTCGCCTGCAGGTACGAGGCTGCCACTCGAGAACCTTTTTTCCCCATCGGTTGTCGGTTCTTCGAGCTATATGACCGGCCCATTGCCACTTTAGCTTACTAATCCGTTGGACTATTTTGGTTACTCTGGTTTTACTGCGGATATCCTCATTTCTAAATTTATCACGCAGAGAAACTCTGAGCATAGCCCTCTCTATAGCTCGCTGAGCGACCTTGAGCTTCCTCATCTGGCCGGATGAGGAAGCTCAAGGTTGCTCAGATTGCCTCATAGAAAACGAAAATAGTGCTGCCCACCAAAAAATTAACGAACGATGTGATGATTAACGAACATGTAAAATGCCCAAACCGGCGATAAGAAGCAGCAACAGAAGAGCGACACTTCTGGTGCTTGCAATCGTAAACGCCTGGCAGACATGGTGATTTCGCTAGGCCTCCATGGATGTGGCTTAAGTCAGAGCGCACAATTTAATTGCTGAGTTGCTACTTGATAATATTGAAATTTGCGACAAATAGACACAGACACGAGAAATTGGGGAATATCTATAAATAACTTTAAATTAATTTATTCTCAATGTAAGTGCCTCATTGTTTAATGCTTGAAAGACCTAATCTATTATACCATATCAACATATCATCAAGAGGTTGGTTGGTGGATGTTAAAGCCATCATGATACTACATAATGTAGTTAGTTATACAACATGTAACAAAAACCCTGTGGTTCCCGTTAAGTACGTTATCAGGATCAGTATTCAAACCTATCGAATTAATTTATTTTTAAAAATCGACCATATTTTTCTTTATTTTATTAAAAAAATTATATTTTATGTGGTTTTATTACCTCTTACTGACACTAGCCGATGCTAAAGCTAAGTAAAGCGGGGTCTTTGACAATCCTCTTACTTCCCAGACAATGCAGAGGTAATAAAACCACATACAATTTGCATACAATTTTTTTTTTTTAAATAAAATAAAAAATATATTGTTAGAGTTTAAAAAAAAAAGTTATTTCTATACGTTTGAATAATGATCCTGATAACGTACTTAACGGGAACCACAGGGTTCGTTACATATTGTATAACACTGTATTTTTATATCAACTTATTGCCATAAACTTGAAGTTGACTATTTCACTCGTTCACAGGCATCGCTCTTCTGGAAGGTGGAAATCCTATTATACAACACAGCATATTCACAAAATTACAAAACGGCGAGATATCTCAAGCGTTCTTAAAGGTAAGTTCAGTTTCAAAGATTTTCTGATATTTGTGACATAATATTCATAATATGACGACATAATACGACATATGACGGCTCCGTGGCGCAGTGGCTTAGCAATGAGTTGTTGCGCTGGGGGCCGTGGGTTCGAATCCCGCACGGAACAAGTATTTGTATGGCCTACAGATAATTGTTCCGGGTCTGGATGTTTGTCCTCGTGCAATTTATGTTTGTAAACTGCCTCCACGACACAGGAGAAAATCCTAGTGTGGGGGTAAGGTTTTTTCAAAAAAAAAAAGAAGAAAGAAAGAAATTATGAAATTATGAGTAAAGTATATTTTTTTATTGTATACGAAATAAGGAACGAATGAAAAAGTATATTAAGTTACAGGCAATCTTATCATTATGAAAGTGGAAACTGGAAAATGGGAACACGTAGTACTTCGTGTATAATGTTTATCATGCGCTTTTTAAGCCTGGACACATACGAGGGAATTCATATAATTCGAATGGTGTTATTGTAGCGGTTTTTTCTATATCTTCTTGCCTCACGTTGATTTGTTCATATGCGCGGTTGAGATGTGTAGTTGAGAATATTATTGCCGGATAACTTTGTTCTGCGGCGCAAGTTCTTGGCAATAGCTTAGTAGAAGTGTCAAGAAATTATGTGTTGTTTTTACTTATATTACCATATCGTTCCATGGCTGTAGTAAGAGGCGACTGAGGAAGAACGACTGAAACAGGGGATGGGTAGGAGCATCTTCTTGATAACGACTCAAATTATAAAAAACTGCGGTTGCCAACCTGCCAAGCCTGGCAACTATGACAAAATGTCCTCAATTAGAGACAGTCTTTGGGAGAGGCCTATGTTCGGCAGTGAATTTTTATAGGCTGTAATGGATGGCTTATATTATAATTGGTCACTTGACAACATCATTCATAAACGTAATGCAATCATTATATAATTAAAATTTTATGCTTTCAGTAGTGTTTTACAATGTGTTCGGTTCCAAAAAGGTACCATAATTTATTGATATTCCCATACAATTTCTGTAGAAAAATATTATTTGACGGCTCGCAATAATAACTTAAATTTAAAAATTTAAAACCCCCAGAAACAAAGAGAGCCGATGATCTTCATACGACTAAAAAGATATTCTTAAATCATAGGTAAGAAAACTCACGATCAAGTCACGTTTAAACAAAAAGAAACTAAATCTACAGCGGTTTATCCGTTTGGGAGTTACTATGTCACATACAGACACATATACACATAAACACACAGATACACAGATATACGGATACACACGTTAAACATATAACACCCCTCTTTCCGTCGGGGGTTAATTCAATCCAAAAAAACTTAGAGTATTTCAATTGCCACTAGTTTATTAAAAGGGGTACTTTAAGAGTTGTCAAAAGAAACATTTCTATAGATGTATGAGAATGTATTGCAATTTACTATCTTGTGATTCATCACCATATACCATCAGGTGGGATTGTCGTCAAGCACTGCCTTATTAGCAAAAAATTACTTCAGTTTTTATAATTATCTTATTTATTTTTAAAATTTTATTTAACACTACTAAAGTAGTAAAATTGAATTATATGATGCAGTTATTAGTGTATGTAGATTATGTCAACTATCCAATAGATCTAAGTGGCAATTGGCATATTATGATTTAGGTATTCTACGACAAGATGCGTGAAGCGCAGCAGGAGATCCGCTCGTTGGCAACCAGCACAACGGCCACCAGTGGGACGGACAAACGCTCGAGCATAGCCGATAAACACAAACCCGCCACCACAGAGGGTAAACTTTCGCAGATATCTCCTTTTATAACGTCTCACTTCGCAGATCAGCATATTAAAAAAAAACCAGAGACAGTCATAAGGACTGCCGACAGAAGTGAAAACTCAATAATATATGCGTATATATGTACACAGGCCGCTAGACATCCTCGTGACGTATTGCGTTTGCGCTTGCGAGCAATTCGTCACGAGCATATCGAGGTCAACGGTGACGCGAACCCATAAGTTTTTCCCCTACCAAAAATCGCTCAACGCTGCTAAAGAAGTTTTCACTTCAAAAATCTTGTAAAGTGCTGGAAAATGTGTAAGCAGTTTGTCATAGTGAGAATAGGAATGACATTCTTATTGTGAAAATCCATTCTATATTGCGACATCTAAGCTGTTAATATAAACCGGTTAGGTAGGGTGAGGAAAACAGATATTTATCATAATTTTTTTTTTACAAAAGAACCATGTCTTTAATGTATCTTGTATTCCCCTATAAAAATAGTACATAGATTTATTTGGGTATCTTAAATATACCACTTACTGTTATAAAATTGGTATAACAGTAAGTGGTGCCACCAATTAAATTGTTAATAGCAATTTTACTGTCGGGCATATGATTATAGGCTTTTGGGGATTTCACATAAATCTAAATGTATATTTTAGTATATGTAATCTAATCTAAAGTATTAATAAGATAGAAATAAAAACTGTATAAGAACCTCCGAAGGAGGCGGAGTCATAGCCGAAATAAGAATTTTAATTTTTTTGGTTTTTGGTCATTTTGACCCCCTAGGAGTGTAATGAGAACTTTTTGCCCCTATTTAAGCATGACCCCCATGACATCATCTACATGATAGGATATTCAAACTGACAGGCCTAAAGTTCGAGTCTCCTCAACTGATTTTTAGTCTTTAATTGAAACAAGTGGGATGCGGCAAGTAAAGACTGTGTAAGAACCCCCGAAGGAGGTGGAGTTATAGCCGAAATAAGAATTTTAATTTTTTTGGTTTTTGACCATTTTGAACATTTCACATCCTCTACATGATAGGCTATTCAAACTGACTAGGCCTAAAGTTCGAGTCAACCCCAACTCATTTCTAAGGTCTTTACTTTCACTAATGAACCAGTGGCCTTGCTTTTATTACATTGATTGCAGTATCCACTGATTATAACGTGGATTATTTTTTATTTAATGGTATAGAAAATTGTGTGTCTGACAGATGACTATTATAGACTAATAACAATAATCTTCGTTTTTATTATATATATATATATATATATATATATATATATATATATATATTAATATAGTAAATTAATATAGTAAATAAAAGTTTGTTTAAAACACGAGTTTTGATTTAACAGGAAAAGTAGCCCCAGGTCCGATAGTGGTCGGCGAGGACATGGACGACGAGGTGACCAACGCTTGCAACGCCGTAGTCCACGCATACTCTGACATACACACCATGTCTCATGGTAAGTGCCCTATACTGCTGATATTTTTAACAAATAGAAAGAAAGAAAATATGCAGCCCTATCTATCAAAAAGTTAAAAAGTAAATGTACATGATTAATAATAATGGGAATAAGGTGATCGCTAAATTGATGTTTTTAAATGTTTTCATAGTAATTGTATAAAATACTGTATTGTAGATTAATTTTATTACCAAAACTATATGTAATCTACATATATTGAATAAAAATGATTCTATTCTATACCTACTGGATATACTCGTAAGAATATGACATGGCTATGTCCAAACGAACTTACAATCCACATGGTGATAGTGGCAACTGCTCATAAAGAAAATGAATGCTGATGCAGGCTGTGGCACATGTCGACTTTGCTTGAGAAGGAACTTTTGATTTAGATTCACAATTGCACCCAGTAGGTTGCGCTGTTCACGAGATCCCGAAATCACCCGTACGAAGCCGGGGCGGATAGCTAATTAAATATAATACGTTCTTTTGATTGGTGGGTTTGCTGTTGGCATCGAGCATTTAACCTGAATAGAGCGGTGTTGTTATTTGTTTTGTAAGAAAACAAATTCCGCCAAAACGCTGCGCCGGTCGCTGCGCTCTGATTGGCCGATTCAAAGTCAAGTATTGCACTAGAGCTGTCCAATAAAATATTTGTTACCGTAAACCGTAAAAATCGTAATCGTAAGTTTAATATCTATCTCGCGAGTATGTAAACTGTTGAAACATTGTGAACCCGTAACATACTGCTTACAATGTAACGTGTGTTATTTTTCGGTAGATTGTAATAATATATCTGAAAATTGTAATAATATATGTTGAAATTAGTCAAAAGGTTGTTTTGATCGAAAGTTGTTATAAAGCCTAACCTTTTTTATGGTTTCGTACCTGTAAAGGAAAAAACGAAACCCTTATGGGACCAGGTAAGTAGGTACATAACGGATTTATATATAATTTTTTTGTTACAAATATATTTTATTTAGGACTATTAGGTAAGAGTATATGAAGGTGTTCGTGCGTGTGTTCGAAATAATAAATTTTAAATGAAACTTCCATACTTAAAAAAATATAGTAATAAATGAAATAAAATTGAATTTAAGGCTATAAATGAATTTATAAAAAATTAATGAAATAAAACTATTGTATCATATGAAAAATTAAGGAAAAACTCGCAAAATGTCAATATTTTTGTTCATTTAGTTATAGGTATAATAAATTCAAGATTTAAATGTTACTTATGCGTTACTATTACTGGTTTTTAAAGTGAATTAATTTAGTATAAATTCTTCTCACTGCTTGTTTCTCGTTATATTTCTTTCTTTTGCTGAGGAATGTTAGTCTCGTATCTACATATTTTTTTATGATACTTTGAGCTAAATCAGTTATATGGTTTGTCTCTTCTGTGTAATTTTGGTGGTAGTCATATTCGGGAAATAGTTTTTCTCCTACAAAACTGCTCATTGTTTTGTGAACTAAGAAGTCACTTGTACATCGTCGTACTATGTCTATACTCTCAATGAAAAATTTTTTATGAATTGCTCCGAACGGCGGCAAATTTTTTGCACGTTAACTGATGGATATATTAAGCCCCCCTTATCTCTGTAAAAAATTAAACTTCTCTTATTTTCTGACAAGCATACTAATGCTTGCACGCAAGTGGCGCATTTAATACGTTTAATTAGTGCGCTAGACACATACCCTGCTATGTATTCTATCACATTCTCAGAAAACTGTGAAAGCTCGACAGCTTCCATCCGAATATTAAATTCTTCTTCGTTTTCAAGATCATCATCATTAACATTCTGCTCAGTTTCGCTGTGAGTGGTCAAGTTTATTCTTGTGATTGCCGAAGAACAATTAAGAATTGATATCTTCTCTAACGGTATGCAGTTACCCGTCGATGTTTGTAATAATTCTGTATGAATTAAGCATTTCTTGTAAATGGCTTCGAATAAGCGGGGTGTAGGATTGTCATTTGAACCACCATGTGATCTCATATTAGCAAAAAAGAGTTCTATGTGATCCTGTGAAATTTTGTGCATAGGTAAGTATCTTATAGGACAATTTTCATCACAGATTAAATCCTTAAATAAACCTTTAGTACTTTCGATTGCAACAAAGAAACCTAGAAATCCAGTAAACCGTGGTGATTCTATCAATTTTACTTGTTGCGTCTTCTTTCGTATTATTATTTTTGTAGTGACAGTCACCAAAAACCTTTTGCATTCCTCTAGTCTATCAAAGATTCTAGTATGATTATCAAAATTCAAAGCCCGTTTGTATCCATACCTGTGAACTCTGGAATCTAAAATATCAAATAGATCGTTTATGAGTAGGATCATTCTGGATGTCGCACCAACTCCTTGAAAGTCTGTCAATTTTAACTCTACTTCGCAAAAATCTAATGCTGTAGCTACGCTGCGACTGAACAATTGTGTAGCTAATTTTACTTTCATTATATTCGTTTTAAAATAAATGTGTTCAGCGCGTAACTTATTGGCAAGGTGAAAATTCTCTTTTTCTTGGAGCTCCTGTAATAATTTTAGGTAATCCCATCGTATAGTGTTGCCGTTCTCATCTTGAAATTCTTGATATTTTTCAAAAGTATTTCTGACCAATTTGAGCATATGCACGGGATCCAAAAATACGAAAACATTAGCACTCGTCACAGGATGTTTAAAGCTCGTCTTTAGCTGCTCTTTTTGTAATTTGCATCCTAGTTGCTTTGCCATTGCCAAGTTTGCTGGACAGCCGTCGAAGGTCAATGCTTTGACAGTAATTTTGTTTTCATGGCACAGCTCAAGAGCAATATTTACCAGGTTAGCTTTTTGTTCTCCACTGGTTTTATCGACTAGAAAGTAACCAATTGGTACTTTGAAACTTCCGTTGAATGGGACTACTAAAAGCACTAGTGCTTCTGTGCATTCATTATTGCAGTCAGTTTCCAGTTGATTACCAAAATCCACGTAGCCGAATGAACGTTGAGTTGATGGTTCATATTCTACCTTGCTTTTTATTTTCATCTCATCGAATACAAGGGTATACATCAACTCTTCTTTTGATGTTTCTGCTCTGGCTTTTAAGGCGTTGAAAGCCTCTGTTGTGAAACCCGGCCTACCGTCCACAGTCTGGTACCATTTTGTTAGTGTTCGCATGGAAGGTAAACAAGTATTGAAGGTATTTCTTACATATTTGTAAGCTTTTAATGAATAAAAATTCAATGTGAGAGCGAAAGTTCTCAATTCAGGCGAATATTTCTTTTTAATAATTTTTCCCGTTTTACATTTCAGATACTGACGATGAACGATTTCTTGATTAAGTACACCAATTTTTTTTAAAATATCTGCGTCTTCGGCTTTAATGAGATTTTTCTTTTCTAATTCCTTTATTATAACTTTTAAAGATGCCACTCTTTTTTTATAGTAACGGACTTTGTCCCTTAATACCTTAATTGTTTTATTTTTATGCTTAACTTGACTTGTTAACTGCAAAACACGTCTGCAAAGACGTTTTTTGGTCGGAGAGTGAAAATTTGAAGGAGTTTCAGGTTCGGTAGCTTTTCGTTTACTTCCCCTTGGTGTAGTTGATATCGAGTCCTTTTGAGAAGACGATGATGGTATCGGACTTTTATCTTCTGGAACTAATATGTTACTCTGCAAAGAAAACAAAATTATACATATATCGAGTCTGTAAAGACAATAGGTTTGATAATGAAGTTGAATAAAATAGATTATGTATTATATATCTTACCACTACAGGCAAATTTAGTGTAGGAATTGCGGTATCAAACAAGCGGCGGCGACTTTTTGACGTATAAAAACAATCTTCTGTAAAATGTCTGGAGCAAATGACACTATAATTACTTGGAAACCAGTTTTCTCTCTTTGCACAATCTATCCATTGTTCTTTAAGATTCGGATCCTTAGGAAACCTAAAAAAAAAAAAACAAATTACAAAAATGTGAAAAATATTACTTTTTAAAAAGACTCGCCGGCTATTTCAGTTTCTATTATGCTTAATTTACAAATTCTGTTTAAATTATAGACGTCCCTGTGTAGATTTTGTCTAAAAGTAACTTCAATTACAGTCATTTTTAACTTAGTCATTATTAGTTACCATCATTATAACTTTTAATTAAAGTAGCTGACTGAAATTTTGTAGATTATTATTTATTTTATATTACTAGCAGCGCACCGAGGTTGCACTCGCATAGTTTCCGTTTCCGAGGGGAAAACCGGGATATAAACTGTCTGTGTGCTAAATTTCATTCAAATTCGTTCAGTAGTTTTTAGCGTGACACGCAAACATCCCAACATATAAACAGCCAAATTTTCAGATTTATATTTTTAGTAGGATTTGTATTATTATTAGTAGAATATTTTTGTATTGAGGTCTGGTGTGCTTAAATTAATCGACAAAGTAACTCACTACCTACTACTCACTCTAGATCGACTTATTTGAACTTTGTCTTGAAATGTATTCAATTTATTACATCTACTTATTTGTTTAAACAAATAACCTGTTCCGGTAAATATCCGGTAAAATAAAAAACCGGTATAATCCGGTAATTTGATTATGACGCAGCACTAGTAAACACGTAATAAATAAAATGAGATGGCTTATATTGGTTACACCTAGGTAAGAGCAAGACGCATAGACAAGCGTCTAAGTGTTTCATTCTAAATGGCCAGTTTAACTTGAGCCGTATTAAATGGATGTAAATTGAAGCAAAATCAAAGTTTATTGATACTTACCGATGAAACGTGATTCCGTCTGTTTTATAATTCGATGTCTTGCTGTTTTTTCCACACCACCGAATAGAACAACACGACATTATGGGGTTTAATATACCAAACTTTGAATATTTTCGGGAGTATCGGGAAACGTACACACAGATCACTTGTTGGTGAGGTACTGTTTTAGGACGAGCGTGAATTGCTATTTATCAGTGACAAATCACTGATCAGTTTCGGAATTGGATGGCTCACATTACTACT